CTTGTATGGAGCCCAGGCTTTCTTTGTCTTTGACCGAGAAGTTTCCTCTTCCGAGTCTGTGCAAGAGATAGAGGGAAAGCTCAAGGCGATCATTAACAAGATTATATCTGTTGAAGAAGAAGAAGAGAAAAATATGGACGACAAGGAGAAATCCCAGGCTGAGAAGTTTAGGTGCACATTCTATGGGGATTTTGATCTGGAGAGCAACCCAGTGAGTTTCCAGGATGCCATGCAAGTGTTCTCCACTCTTCCAAAAATGATGGGAGATGATGGAGAGAAAGCTGTGCCCATCAAGGTCTGGCTGTACCCGTTGACCAAGATGGATTTCAAGGCAGCTGAGATGGTGCGAGAGATCAGCCTAGGGCTGATTTGGGGTGCCCAGAAAGTTCTGGAAGATCTCGATGAAATCGACATGAGATGTAGTGACCTGGGGAAGAATCCCATTGCTAACACCTTCCCAGAGATCAAGAAGAAGATCCAGCATTTCAAGGACCTCTGCAAGCAGCACAGGCAGACCTTCCAGAAGAAGATGGCAAGGATCCTACCTTCCATTCGGGGAGGAAAAAAAGAGGAAGGCGCCTTGGCCAAAACCTTGACCTTAATGAACCAATCGCTCTTCAATATCCAAAGTCTCCACGGATTTCTAGACACAAAGGAAGAGGAAATTCAAGTGGTGAAATCTTTTCTTACCATCCTCAAAGGAATAGAAATCATCTCCTCCCAGGTGAAACTGGAAGAAATAGTGCTCGACCCCAAGAGTGAGTTTGTCGTCTCCTTCACGTTCACTTCCTTACACAACGAAGAACCCTTCTTATCCCATTTCCAACACTGCCTTCAGAAACGATTTCTGCAGGTGGTAGATGATCTCACAAGAACCAGGTCTACGCCAGAAAAACTTGAGGTCTGGTTTGATCACGAAGASATWCTCCAGAAYGCRTGGAATGCTGCCAGGTCCACTTCRGACTTTGCCCACGTCAACAAACCAAGTGGGAAGACCCGRTTYGTGGTGGCCTCTGCCCCAGACRAGGACAACCCCGGTGCTTCCGTCTACCTCTACAAAGATGGAGAGCTAATCAGCTGCAACTTTCAGCTGCCCAARAAACCMTTTCCTCTCCTTGTTGAYGAAATCAARCACGACAGCATGAAGCTGGTGTTYCAGCCAGCGACCTATGGRAGAAATTCCATCTCCAGCTATCAGGTAGAATACAAGCCYTCAGGAGAAGAAAAGTGGAAGGTCATGCAAACACAGGATAACCACAACACTGCGAYGTTASAAGGTCTGTGTCCAAACACCAAATACCTGGTCCGTTACTGTGCTAGGAGCAAGCCAGGCCTTAGCAAGCCCAGTGATATCAACAGACCCGTGAAGACCCTTCCCACCAGCCCTCCTGGGAAGCCCAGAGAAGTAACTGTTGGGTCTTCCTTGATTTCAGTGACCTGGGGAAGTCCCAATGTCATTGGAGCAGGAACTGTTATAAAGGAGTACCAAGTGGAGTACAGAGTTGAAGGCGAGGATGATGAAGGCATAGACGAATGGAATGAGAGAAGAACAGGGAGAAGAACAGAATTCTGCCAGATCGATGGCCTGAGGCCTCAGTCGCTCTACCGACTCCGGGTGTCTGCTGTGTGTGCTGATGGGGCTCAGAGTGCTCCCAGCGAGGAAGTGGAGGTTTCCACGACCCGGGAAGAAGAGGAGAAGGACAGAATAGCCTTTAAGTATCTCCAGAAGAGCTCACTGGCTGTCAAAGGGCAACCATCCATCTATGTGCTTCCCTTGGAGGCTACCTCCAATACCTCAACATCCTGTCTGAAGTACCGCCTAGGAGAAAAAAACCTGAAGGTCCCCAATAAAGTCATTATGATGATTGGAGCTACAGGGTCAGGGAAGACCACCCTCATCAACGGGATGATCAACTACATCCTGGGTGTCCAATGGGAAGACGAATTCCGATTCAAACTCATTCATGAAGAGACCCACAGAAGCCAAGCTGAAAGCCAAACCTCCAACATGAAGGTCTATGCATTGAATTACCAGGAGGGGTTTAAGATCCCCTATTCCCTCACAATCATCGACACCCCAGGAGGAATAGAGCACAACCTCTTGCTAACAAAAGAGATCAGGCACTTTTTGTCCACCTTGCCGGACACCGACCACCTGGATGCCATCTGCCTTGTGCTGCAGGCCTCTTTGTCTTGCTTGACACCTGGCCAGAGATACATGTTTGACTCTGTGCTCTCCAGTCTGGGGAAGGACATGAAGGACCACATCCAAGTCCTAGTCACCTTTGCAGATGGACAGACCCCTCCTGTCCTGGAGGTCATTGAAGCAGCCCACGTGCCGTGTGCCAAAGATGCCAGTGGGACTCCCGTCCACTTCAAGTTCAACAACTCCGCACTCTTTGCCGACAATACGGTGAAGAGCGGAGGCAGCTGTAACTTCGATGAGATGTTCTGGAAAATGGGCTGCACGAGCATGAAGGTTTTCTTTGATTCATTGTACACATTACAACCTAACAATTTGAATTTTTTTAAGACAGTCCCCCAGGAATTGAAAAGACTGGAAGATGATGGGAGAACTCTGGATCAACACAAAGGTAAGAGATAAAGAGGGCAGCAGGAATGTTGAGTAGAAAGTAGAAAATACTGTGAAGGTGATTGAAGTCTGGTACAGGTCTCATGTCTTTAACTTGCAATAATTGCAAGCGTCCTGTGCATACCAGAGCCCAAATGAATGTGCCAGTAGGTTTTGTCTTTCCATGTTATTCAGTGAGGCGTTGCCAGCTCAACACTGCCTTGTTTGACATGGAAGTTCTTCAGTGGATGATCACTTGACTAAGGAGTACGTATTTGAATAGAAAGTGTCTGAGGAAAAATGGCCAAGCTGAGCCTCTGTGCCTTGCTCCTTCTGCTTTACACACAATTAATTAATTTTTATTTTTATTCAGATATAAAGGATCAAGAACCTAGAAAGAAAGAAAAACAATACATTTTATCATAATATATAATACTAAAACTCCTGCATCCAGCCCTGCTATATCTAAAACAATCACTCAAAAACAGACCTACAAGAATAAACACATATTGGACACGTCACTACTGGAAATATTGGAAGAACCTCACCCTCTTGGTCTGTTGATTTTGACCTCTTATGATACTATTCCCTTTAGATGCCACTGTATATCCACACCTCTGCTTTTGGTACCATTCCATTAAGTCATAAATCCAATGGTTAAATTTTACCCCATCTTAGCTATAGAAAAATGATAGACAAGTCCCAGTCGTGCTGGAAGTTGGTCAAGGATTTCTCCCTGGTCAAGGCCATCTCCGCTAATTCACAGATCGGCACCAGCCATTCTTCTTGCATTGGAATGACTTCTCACTCAAGTTGTCATATACTGTAGTAATCTCCCCTGTTTTCTCATTAGTTAATTGTCCAGCATTCACAACAAATACAACTCTTCCAGCCTCCTATGTATTTCTGGGCTTTTTTGTTAAATCACCCCATATGATAAAATATCCCAACATTTCTCTTACATTTCCAACAATTACTAGAACTGCCTTTATATATCTTAGACTGTTGTTCTGCCATCAAATGCCACCTGCACATCGTCTTACTTAAAAAACTATTTCCAATCCTTACGCAAAGTAATTGTGTTTCTTTGTCTGCTGAGACTGATTGATCCATAGTACATGTTATGTACTCTTGTACTGGGCCCTGATATACACAGACTGGGATGGGAAACCCTGGGTGCTGAGCCCAGTCTTCCCAAGGGGTTCTGCCTCCTCCATTCCCTCTCACCTGCCTGTAGATGAGCCTAGAACAGGCAACAAGGAGGAGGAGGAGGAGGAGGAGGAAGAGGAGGAGGAGGAGGAGGAGGAGGAGGAGGAGGAGGAGGAGGAGGAGGAAAGATCAGCCTGGGAATGTTTAACAGCAAGTTAAACATGAGCCAACAATGTCATGCAGCAGCAAAAAAAAGCCAATGGGATTTTGGCCTGCATCAAGAGGAGTCTAGTGCCCAGATCCAGGGAAGTCATGCTCCCCATGCTCTATTCTATTCTGCCTTGGTCAGATCACTACCTGGAATCCCACTGTGTCCAATTCTGGACACCACAATGGGAGGGAAATGTTGACTCTAAGCTAGAATACTGTGTCCAGAGGAAGAGGGCGACTCAAAGGACCAACGGTCTGGAGAACAAGCCCTATGAGGAGGCGAAGGCTGGGCATGTTTAGCTTGCAGAAGAGAAAGGCTGAGAGGAGACATGGATGAGAGCTATGGATCAAGAGGTGAAGCTGGGGAAGTCCTAGGGAGGAGGGAGGATCATAGAATCCTAGAATCATAGAGTTGGAAGAGACCTCGTGAGCCATCCAGTCCAACCCCTTACCAAGAAGCAGGAAAATCCATTCAAAGCACCCCCAGCAGTTGTCCATCCAGCCTCTGTTTAAAAGCCTCCATAGAAGGAGCCTCCACCACACTTTGAGGCAGAGAATTCCACTGCTGAACGGCTCTCACAGTCAGGAAGTTCTTCCTCATCTTCATATGGAATCTCCTTTCTTGTAGTTTGAGTCTTCCTTTCTGCTTCTCTGGAGACTAGGACGCAATGGAAGAATGGCTTCAAACTACAGGAAATGAGATTCCACCTGAACATTAGGAAGAACTTCCTGACTGTGAGAGCCGTTCAGCAGTGGAACTCTCTGCCCTGGAGTGGGGTGGAGGCTCCTTCTTTGGAAGCTTTTAAGCAGGGGATGGATGGCCATCTGTCGTGGGTGCTTTGAATGAGATTTTCCTGCTTCTTGGCAGAATGGGGTTGGACTGGATGGCTCACAAGGCCTCTTCCAACTCAGTGATTCTATGATCAGGGGAATCTGTTTTTCTGCAGTTTGACTCCATTGGTCCATTGTGTCCTGATGGCCAAATCTCAATGTGGTTCTCCAAAATAAGCATCCCCAGCTCCCAAAGGGATTCCTGACCTCCAGACCTTTGGTCATTTTGGCCGCCCTTCTCTGAAACTGTCCATATCCTCCTTGATATTATGAGCATGCTTTGTCATGAAGGCCATGACATTTCACAAGGATGAACCTGCAGATGGGCAAAGCTGCCCATGGCCTGCCTGGATATGTTCACACTCACCACCACCACCTTAAAACTGAGGCAACTGAGTTCACCTTCTAGTAAGATCAACTCTATCTCTCTTTCCACTGCCTTGTTCTTCAGAACCATGGAAGGAACTCAGGATGATCCTGGTTGGAAAGACTGGAGGTGGGAAGAGCGCTACAGGAAACACCATTCTTGGCCGGAAGGCTTTTGAGTCCATTGCGGCACCAAGGACGACCACGCTCAGATGCCAACGAGAGACAGGGAGGTGGAGAGATGTGGACCTTTCTGTGATTGACACTCCAGACCTTTTCGACCCCTCCAGCTGGATCCTGCTGCCGGAGATCAGGCGTTGCATTGATCTCTCCAGGCCCGGCCCTCACGCCTTGGTGTTTGTGACCCAGGTGGGCCGCTTCACTGCCGAAGACAAGGTGGCAGCCAATCAAGTCCAGGCTTTGTTTGGGGAAGGGGCCTCCAGGCACATGGTCATCCTCTTCACTCGCAAGGAGGATTTAATTGGAGATACCTTGGAGGACTACGTGTGGGGCTCAGGCAATCAGGCTCTCCAGGGGCTATTTCGGAAGTGTGGGGCGCGCATGTGTGCTTTCAATAACAGGGCATCTGGGGAGGAGCGGGAGACGCAGGTCTCTGAGCTGATGGAGGTAGTCCAGCGAATGGTGGAGGAGGAGGGAGGCAGGCATTACTCCAATAGGCTCTACATGGAACCTGTCTTAACCGACGAAAAGATCCACGCGTTCATGGCAGAGAACAGAGGCGTCAGGCCAAAGCCAAGGGGAGGCTGGAATTTGGAAAGGACGTGGCTGAAAAAAGGGCTGCTTGCTCTTGGTGGTTGTGCTTTGGTCATTGGCGTGATTATATTGACCATTTATTTGGCAAAATGTAATCAATAGGTGTTGTGATGTGATTTTTTATGTTGAATAACTTTTGATGAATATTAACTGTGAATTGTTTATTTCTTCTTTACTGTTTGCATATTTGCATATTTTAAATTGTATACTAATGCATTTATGTCAAGTCTCTTTGTGTCTCCTTTGAGGAAATAAAGTGGGGTATAAATACATATAATAATAAACATAGTAATAATCTTATGTTTTAAAAGGGGAATTTCAAGTGGTTGTGCTCAAAGGCCAGAGAGGTAGTGTTCTGTTGCCGCTGGAGCTGAAATTAAGGGCCTTTAAGAGAGGATGCAAGGCTTGCGTCCAGCGGGAAGCCCGGGGGCCTGAGAAGGAATCTTTAGTGAAATTTCACCTATTAAACAGGCTTTAGGAGGCTTAAACTTAAATATAACAGTCTTTATTAATGAACAAACAGGAATCGTAAGCTTTCTAAATAGTCTATTGGCTCTTGCAGTCTTGTTTACAGGAAACAGGCACTATCTTCAAGAAATTTTGTTTAACAGAAAAAAAAATCCCCTTTATAGCTCCTCCCAGGCTGCTGTGAACTTAAACCTGACTGGTTTGAGTCTGCTACCAGCTGAACTGCGTCTCAGAACCGGACAGATGTACCACCAGGCTTGAAATCACTTAGCTGAAGATGAAGAGCTGTTATTCCCTCCGGAGGTCCTCAGGGCTGTGAAGCTGTTCCCTGGAACCCTTTGGGAATCTGTAGCGGCCTTTAAAACAGTTCTCCCCCAGGAAGTCTTAAAAGACGAAGCCTTTGCACAGGAGGAACGTCTGTATGCATCCTCTGCTTTGGCTTCCCTTGCTGTGACAAACTGAAAAATGGCCCCTTCCCTCCAAAAGCAAAAAGGGGGCGGGACCAGGGATCCTAACTATAATTGGCAGGTGGCTTACCCTATAAATGCAAGTTATAACAGGAAACCCCCTGCTGCAAAATCCCAAGCATGGGATTGCACACAAACATTTAAACACATCAAATAAATCTGGAGCTCCTGGAACAGCTGTTCCAGAACAGGTAGACAATAAAGCAACTCAACGTTTTCTATTATCTCAGATGCAGCGAAGATGGCCACTGTGTTTTCCAGGATGCAGATTTTCCAGCTCAAATGAAAGAAAGAGGGATGGCAAATGATATGAAGAGTTCAGGAAAGGTGATTCCACCCAAACATTAGGAAGAAGTTTCTGAGTGTGAGAGCTGTTCAGCTGTTCAGCACTCTGGGGCAGAACTCTCTGCCCCAGAGTGTGGTGGTGGAGGCTCCTTCTATAGAGGCTTTTAAAGAGGGGCTGGATGGCCATCTGTTGGGGGTGCTTTGAAGGTGATTTTCCTGCTTCTTGGCAGAAAGGGATTGGACTGGATGGTCCATGGGGTCTCTTCCAACTCTAGGATTCTAGGATTCTATGATTCTAATGCAAAGGGGGTTTGTGCCAAATTAACTCAAGGTGTAGAATGAATGCGGCGTGACTCCACTTGACCTGCCATGGCTCAATGCGATGGGATCCTGGGAGTTGTCGTTTTGCTGAAGTACAAGC